AACCTAAGGACGCTTAACCCTCTGGGGACCAGGGTGTTTTTGGGGCCCTTGGGATGTTTTGACATGCACTGACATTTGTGCTTTTTTCAGTTATTTATAAACATGTTAATGGCAAAGGTGTAAATTCACTCTATATAGCACAAACGGGACTACCATGATAAGTGAGCAACATGTATGTACATGTTTGTATTTTTAAGAGAATAATGTTTATGCGTGGTTATTGAAAAAAAATAAAAATGAAAGTTGCTGAAAATAGACCACAAAACACATATTGATTATTTCTTCACAATACTTTTGAAAATTGTATCACATAGTCTAGAATATTTGCTCCAAAACTATGTGAGAATCATCCTGACTACTCATTCAGATAAGTCAATAAAGTCTTTTACATTTTTAATGACGTGTTTTGTTTGAGATGCAGAGATTTGTACGTCAGGAGGAGGATTTTATATTTGATCCGAGACTTAACTGGCAGCCAGTGAAGCTTCTTCAGGATGGGAGTGATGTGAAGTCCAAGCTTTGTGTGAGTGAGCATCCTAGCCGCAGAGTACATACTGGAGTCTGTCAGTAGCCTTGCTGGGCAGGCCGAACAGGACACCGTTACAGTAGTCAAGTCTGGAGGTGATGAAGGAGTGAATGAGGGTCTCGGCTATAGAGTTGGAGAGACACTGTCGGAGTCTGGAGATGTTCTTAACATGGTAAAAGGCAGTTTTAATAGTGTTTTTGATGTGTTGTTGGAAGGAGAGAGTGGAGTCCATGATGACGCCCAGGTTGCGTACTTGAGGAGATGCAGAGATTGAGCAGCCATCCACATCCAGTATAATGTCATCAACATTTTTAAGAAGTGACAGCGGGGCAAACACCATGAGTTCTGTTTTGTCTTTGTTGAGTTTGAGAAGGTTTCTGTCCAGCCAGTTCTTTATGTCCTTCAGGCAGTTGATAGGCGGCACTGGTGGAAGGGGAGTAGAAGGCTTAGTACTGATGTAGAGCTGGGTGTCGTCAGCGTAGCAGTGGAAGTGTAATCCATGTTTTCTGGATGATCATTTCCAAGAGGTAGCATGTAGATATTAAACAGCAGTGGGCCAAGCACCGATCCTTGTGGTATGCCGTGTAAGACTGGCGCCAGTTCAGAGCAAATGCCCTTAAGGGTGGTGTATTGTTGCCTGTTGGTGAGATAGGATTTAAACCAGGAATACACAGTACCAGCGAGGCCAATAAGTTCGGAGAGGCGAGTGAGAAGAATGGAGTGGGAGACTGTATCGAAGGCTGCAGAGAGGTCTAGAAGAATTAAGATGCTGACATGGCCTGAGTCAGCTGCCATGAGAAGCTCATTTGTGATTTTGATGAGGGCAGTTTCTGTGCTATGATGTGTTCTGAAACCAGATTGAAATGGCTTGTAGAGGTTGTGCTGTAGCATATGATGGTTGAGTTGGGAAGCCACAGCTCTTTCCAACTTGCATATGAAAGGTAAGTTGGAGATTGGGCAGTAGTGGTTTGGGTCATCTTGGTTCAGGCCTGATTTTTTAAGTGTAGGGATCACCGCAGCAGTTTTAAAGCTGGTGGGGACCACCCCAGAAGACAGAGAGGTGTTGACCTTGACCAAGGCAGTCGGCATTGGATCCTGTTTACTGGTCGTGGCTTTTGCTTTTGACACGTTTAAAGCACAGACTGGATGTAACCTAGATGTGCTGTGTATGACAGAAACCTGGCTAAAACCAGACGATTACATTACTTTAAATGAGTCCACCCCACAAGATTACAGTTATAAACATGAACCTTGTCTGAAAGGCAAAGGGGGAGGTGTTGCGGTAATTTATAGTAATATCTTAAAAATTACTGAGAAGTCTAGTTTCAAATATAATTATTTTAAAGTGTTGGTGCTTAATGTAACAATATAAACTGTAAATGATGAATCGCATTTGAGATTTGTGCTGGCTACTGTATACAGGGCACCAGGGCACCATACAGACTTAATCAAAGAATTTGCTGACTTTCTATCAGAGTTAGTACTGGCTGCAGATAAAGTCCTAATTGTTGGTGATTTTAATATTAATGTAGATAACGAAAAATATGCATTGGGATTGGCCTTTAAAGACATTCTTAACTCTATTGGAGTTAGATAACACGTGTCAGGACGTACTCATTGTCGTAATCATACTCTAGATCTAATACTATCACATGGAATAGATGTTGATACCGTTGAATTTCTGCAGCAGAGCGATGACATCTTAGATCATTATCTAGTCTCGTGTATACTTCATTTAGCCAAGGCTGCTAAGCCAACTCCGTGTTATAAATATGTTAGACCTATCACTTCTGCCACTAAAGATTGCTTTATCAATAATCTTCCTGATCAGTTTCATCATCTCAGCATCCCAGATAGCTTAGAAGAACTCGATATTGCGACAGAAACTTTTAACTCTCTCTTGCTTCAACGCCAGAAGTTTCCAAGCAGCACAACATGATGTTTTATTAACAAAGTTCGGGAGGAGCACGTTCGGTTAATTAACATGACTGGAGAGCACTCAGCAATCAATGATAAGAGGTGTATATATAGATTCAGCAATCTCACCTCACTCCATTGATAATTTAGCAGCATCCCTCCAGCGCCCCTTCTCCACACTTCCAGTCCTAAACACTTACATAGGGGGAGTACTCTGGGTTCGGGCCAAACTCCCCCCGGACAGCACGCCAAATACGCATTAAATCTTATCCACTCTAATTATATGTAAGTGTGAACTCGTGAAAGTAATGACTTTATGACCTTCTTAACTTACAAGATTGATAATATCAGGGAGAAAATTATAACTTTGCAACCGTCTACTACAGTATCGCATCAGGCAGTGCGTTGTAGTCTTTTAGTGTAATCTCGAATCTGCCTTTTCTGTCAAAGATATTAGAAAAAGCAGTATCCTCACAACTGTGTTCTTTTCTAGAAAGAAAGGATATCTGCGAGGATTTCCAGTCCGGATTTAGACCGTACCATAGTACTGAGACAGCTCTCATCAGAGTCACAAATGATTTGCTCTTACCATCCGATCGTGGTTGTATCTCTCTATTAGTGTTACTCGATCTTAGTGCTGCATTTGATACCGTCGACCACAACATTCAATATTTTCTCATTTTTCTCAGTTATTTCGCTTTATTTCCAGATTCAATCATTGGCTCATCTGACACAGTAGAGCACGTTCACACATGCGCACTCTTCAGAAACGGGGCTTTAAATCTCTTTAAGACGTAAATGACATTTGTATGTATTCTGAATAATAGACCCATGTTTAACTGAATGTCAGCTTGCTTATTTTGCTCAGATCAGGATTTATTGAGTCCACATGTCATGCAATCTAGAAACTCTGCTTCTAACCGCAGCTCGAGATCTGTGGCTCAAACACACAACACACAAAAGCGATGCTGTTTGCGAATGTTTGTTGGAATGATGGTTTCCGGGAACACGACTCGTTGAACTGCTGATAACGACGGAACTTGCTATTATAGTTGGCTAACGATGCTTTGGGGAAACACACCCCAGTTTGTGTGTCAGTGCAGGAGTCGTGATGAGGGCGATCGGATCGCGTGTCAGTGCAGGAGTCGTGATTCGGGCGATTCGGATCGCGTGTCAGTGCAGGAGTCGTGATGAGGGCGATCGGATCGCGTGTCAGTGCAGGAGTCGTGATGAGGGAGATCGGATCGCATGTCAGTGCAGGAGTCGTGATGAGGGCGATCGGATCGCGTGTCAGTGCAGGAGTCGTGAGGAGGGCGATCGGATCGCGTGTCAGTGCAGGAGTCGTGATGAGGGCGATCGGATCGCGTGTCAGTGAAGGAGTCGTGATGAGGGCGATCGGATCGCGTGTCAGTGCAGGAGTCGTGATGAGGGCGATCGGATCGCGTGTCAGTGCAGGAGTCGTGATGAGGGCGATCGGATCGCGTGTCAGTGCAGGAGTCGTGATGAGGGCGATCGGATCGCGTGTCAGTGAAGGAGTCGTGATGAGGGAGATCGGATCGCGTGTCAGTGCAGGAGTCGTGATGAGGGCGATCGGATCGCGTGTCAGTGCAGGAGTCGTGATGAGGGCGATCGGATCGCGTGTCAGTGCAGGAGTCGTGAGGAGGACGATCGGATCGCGTGTCAGTGCAGGAGTCGTGAGGAGGGCGATCGGATCGCGTGTCAGTGCAGGAGTCGTGAGGAGGACGATCGGATCGAGTGTCAGTGCAGGAGTCGTGATGAGGCCGATCGGATCGCGTGTCAGTGCAGGAGTCGTGATGAGGGCGATCGGATCGCGTGTCAGTGCAGGAGTCGTGATGAGGGCGATCGGATCGCGTGTCAGTGCAGGAGTCGTGATGAGGGAGATCGGATCGCGTGTCAGTGCAGGAGTCGTGAGGAGGACGATCGGATCGCGTGTCAGTGCAGGAGTCGTGAGGAGGGCGATCGGATCGCGTGTCAGTGCAGGAGTCGTGAGGAGGACGATCGGATCGCGTGTCAGTGCAGGAGTCGTGAGGAGGACGATCGGATCGCGTGTCAGTGCAGGAGTCGTGAGGAGGACGATCGGATCGCGTGTCAGTGCAGGAGTCGTGAGGAGGACGATCGGATCGCGTGTCAGTGCAGGAGTCGTGATGAGGGAGATCGGATCGCGTGTCAGTGCAGGAGTCGTGATGAGGGAGATCGGATCGCGTGTCAGTGCAGGAGTCGTGAGGAGGACGATCGGATCGCGTGTCAGTGCAGGAGTCGTGAGGAGGGCGATCGGATCGCGTGTCAGTGCAGGAGTCGTGAGGAGGACGATCGGATCGCGTGTCAGTGCAGGAGTCGTGAGGAGGACGATCGGATCGCGTGTCAGTGCAGGAGTCGTGAGGAGGACGATCGGATCGCGTGTCAGTGCAGGAGTCGTGAGGAGGACGATCGGATCGCGTGTCAGTGCAGGAGTCGTGAGGAGGGCGATCGGATCGCGTGTCAGTGCAGGATTCGTGATGAGGGCGATCGGATCGCGTGTCAGTGCAGGAGTCGTGAGGAGGACGATCGGATCGCGTGTCAGTGCAGGAGTCGTGAGGAGGACGATCGGATCGCGTGTCAGTGCAGGATTCGTGATGAGGGCGATCGGATCGCGTGTCAGTGCAGGAGTCGTGATGAGGGCGATCGGATCGCGTGTCAGTGCAGGAGTCGTGATGAGGGCGATCGGATCGCGTGTCAGTGCAGGAGTCGTGATGAGGGCGATCGGATCGCGTGTCAGTGCAGGAGTCGTGATGAGGGCGATCGGATCGCGTGTCAGTGCAGGAGTCGTGAGGAGGGCGATCGGATCGCGTGTCAGTGCAGGAGTCGTGATGAGGGAGATCGGATCGCGTGTCAGTGCAGGAGTCATGATGAGGGCGATCGGATCGCGTGTCAGTGCAGGAGTCGTGAGGAGGGCGATCGGATCGCGTGTCAGTGCAGGAGTCGTGAGGAGGGCGATCGGATCGCGTGTCAGTGCAGGAGTCGTGATGAGGGCGATCGGATCGCGTGTCAGTGCAGGAGTCGTGATGAGGGCGATCGGATCGCGTGTCAGTGCAGGAGTCGTGATGAGGGCGATCGGATCGCGTGTCAGTGCAGGAGTCGTGATGAGGGCGATCGGATCGCGTGTCAGTGCAGGAGTCGTGATGAGGGCGATCGGATCGCGTTTCAGTGCAGGAGTCGTGATGAGGGCGATCGGATCGCGTGTCAGTGCAGGAGTCGTGATGAGGGCGATCGGATCGCGTGTCAGTGCAGGAGTCGTGAGGAGGGCGATCGGATCGCGTGTCAGTGCAGGAGTCGTGATGAGGGCGATCGGATCGCGTGTCAGTGCAGGAGTCGTGATGAGGACGATCGGATCGCGTGTCAGTGCAGGAGTCGTGATGAGGGCGATCGGATCGCGTGTCAGTGCAGGAGTCGTGATGAGGGCGATCGGATCGCGTGTCAGTGCAGGAGTCGTGAGGAGGGTGATCGGATCGCGTGTCAGTGCAGGAGTCGTGAGGAGGGAGATCGGATCGCGTGTCAGTGCAGGAGTCGTGAGGAGGGCGATCGGATCGCGTGTCAGTGCAGGAGTCGTGAGGAGGGCGATCGGATCGCGTGTCAGTGCAGGAGTCGTGAGGAGGGCGATCGGATCGCGTGTCAGTGCAGGAGTCGTGAGGAGGGCGATCGGATCGCGTGTCAGTGCAGGAGTCGTGATGAGGGCGATCGGATCGCGTGTCAGTGCAGGAGTCGTGATGAGGGCGATCGGATCGCGTGTCAGTGCAGGAGTCGTGATGAGGGCGATCGGATCGCGTGTCAGTGCAGGAGTCGTGATGAGGGCGATCGGATCGCGTGTCAGTGCAGGAGTCGTGATGAGGGCGATCGGATCGCGTGTCAGTGCAGGAGTCGTGATGAGGGCGATCGGATCGCGTTTCAGTGCAGGAGTCGTGATGAGGGCGATCGGATCGCGTGTCAGTGCAGGAGTCGTGATGAGGGCGATCGGATCGCGTGTCAGTGCAGGAGTCGTGATGAGGGCGATCGGATCGCGTGTCAGTGCAGGAGTCGTGAGGAGGGCGATCGGATCGCGTGTCAGTGCAGGAGTCGTGAGGAGGGAGATCGGATCGCGTGTCAGTGCAGGAGTCGTGAGGAGGGCGATCGGATCGCGTGTCAGTGCAGGAGTCGTGAGGAGGGCGATCGGATCGCGTGTCAGTGCAGGAGTCGTGATGAGGGCGATCGGATCGCGTGTCAGTGCAGGAGTCGTGATGAGGGCGATCGGATCGCGTGTCAGTGCAGGAGTCGTGATGAGGGCGATCGGATCGCGTGTCAGTGCAGGAGTCGTGATGAGGGCGATCGGATCGCGTGTCAGTGCAGGAGTCGTGATGAGGGCGATCGGATCGCGTGTCAGTGCAGGAGTCGTGATGAGGGCGATCGGATCGCGTGTCAGTGCAGGAGTCGTGATGAGGGCGATCGGATCGCGTGTCAGTGCAGGAGTCGTGATGAGGGCGATCGGATCGCGTGTCAGTGCAGGAGTCGTGAGGAGGGCGATCGGATCGCGTGTCAGTGCAGGGGTCGTGATGAGGGAGATCGGATCGCGTGTCAGTGCAGGAGTCGTGATGAGGGCGATCGGATCGCGTGTCAGTGCAGGAGTCGTGATGAGGGCGATCGGATCGCGTGTCAGTGCAGGAGTCGTGATGAGGGCGATCGGATCGCGTGTCAGTGCAGGAGTCGTGATGAGGGAGATCGGATTGCGTGTCAGTGCAGGAGTCGTGATGAGGGCGATCGGATCGCGTGTCAGTGCAGGAGTCGTGAGGAGGGCGATCGGATCGCGTGTCAGTGCAGGAGTCGTGATGAGGGCGATCGGATCGCGTGTCAGTGAAGGAGTCGTGATGAGGGCGATCGGATCGCGTGTCAGTGCAGGAGTCGTGAGGAGGACGATCGGATCGCGTGTCAGTGCAGGAGTCGTGAGGAGGACGATCGGATCACGTGTCAGTGCAGGAGTCGTGATGAGGGCGATCGGATCGCGTGTCAGTGCAGGAGTCGTGAGGAGG